TCCTTATCTCAAGGTCCCTGCCAGAGTCAGCATTCTATCCTTATCTCCGTATAGAGTCGAAAGGCGAAGGCAGCGTCTAATTACAGATCTCGCGTTGTCAGGCCACAGACTTAGCCTGACTATTGCTCTCTTGTTAACAAGACCAAGATGGCTGCACACAAATTCCCTTATTCCCTTTTCCTGCCTCCACAATCCCTACCCATCCTGGTTAATAGCCATTGATGGACCTAACCTCCATGAATCAATCTAGTTCTTTTTTGAACCCTGTTAAAGTCCTAGCCTTCACCACATCCTCTGGCAAGGAGTCCCACAGGTTGACAATGCGCTGTGTGAAGAAGAACTTCCTTTTATTTGTTTTAAACCTGCTGTCTATTCATTTCATTTGGTGACCCCTAGTTGTTCTATTGTGGGAATAAGTAAATAACTTTTCCTTATTCACTTTTTCCACACCAGTCATGATTTTATAGACCTCTATCATATCCCCCCTTAGTCTCCTCTTTTCTAAGCTGAAAAGTCCAAGTGTTTTTAATCTCTCTTCATATGGGACCCGTTCCAAATCCCTAATAATTTTTGTTGCCCTTTTCTGAAGCTTTTCCAATGCCAATATATATACCAAGAGTAGGAAAGATTATAATTCCTGCTTTAAGAGGTACTTTTGAGAAGGGCCCCTGAATGCATTGCCGCAGCCGCACAGAAAACACCTTGAAGGTGCATATCAGTGATCCAGACTACATCCTCTTCACAGGAGTCAGAACAACACTTGACGGACATATGTAATTTCAGTCCAGAGGCTCAAAATCTATTACATTTTCTAGCTATTCTGTGAAATTTAGGATCACCAATCTCTTTTTCGCTAAGCTGGGATGAGAAATAGGATCTTTACAGATGATAACTGTAAATGGCCCATTGACTCTCACTTTCTTGGTGAAACAAGCCAATAATTATATTGAGAAAGAATAAAGACTTTTTTTGTCCAAAGGAAAATAAGGAAAGAGGATTTTCAAACAAATGGTCTGCAGGGAGGGATGAACAACTGAAACATTCATTAAGATGTAAGATCTACCTGCTGGTTTCATCTTAGCAACTGTATCCTGGGAGGAGAGGAAATATTCTAAACACATCTAGAGGCTACTCAAAGGCACCTTATGAATTCAAGTTCAAAAACTCCCAGACTAAGCATATTCATGATATACAAGGTTCTTTTGTTTTCTAGGAAAACACCACTAGAAATTCAGTAAGATGCACTGTAAAATATGCCTAATATACTAGATTGTAAGGCTCAATTCTATATGATAATAAAATAGACAGACTAATAAAAGATTGGATAGCCACAAAAGCATGCTGAAGTACAATATTCAGATGAAGAAATAGGAAGAGAATTAGTTTTCAATCAAGATTACAAAACCAAACACTAAAAAAATCCAGACTTCCAGCACTGATTGTTTCAGTGGGCCATTGTAGTTATCTGTATCCTGCACAGGGAAATGTCACTGAACTTCAGTAACTGAGGATGAAGTCAACACTTGGTGGAGATGCTAGGGAGAACTCATTAATCCTTATATTGCTGGAGTGTTTGTTTCATTTATTAACAAATATGGGAAGTAAATTTTAATGAAGATCAAATTCAGTACTACCAGGAAAACAAGCTTGGTAAAGTATAAACCTTTCAAATAGAATAATTAGATGAGTAATATGGTTTTGTTGGGCTTTCAAAAAGCTATTTGTTAGAGCCAGATTTAGGCCACAGAGTGTGGATCTTGGATAGACCTTAACAGGGAGAGTGGTGGGAGCTGGATCTAGAATTTTGATCTGGTCTGTTTTAAATTAAGGGTGCAACTAAATCTTTCAGATTTATATCTGAACTCAACAATTATGAATAATTGGATCAGAGTTTTTATTCAGGCCCATCTACTACAATGGTTGTCCTTGGAATTTTTATGCCACTTTTATAAGCAAACAAAATTGCATTGCTGCAATATTCCAGAAATATTTCCAATACTAAATAGAAAGAAGAACAAAGAATATGTGGTAATTCTTTATAGCTGCAGTGACAATCCTGGAAAAAATGTAAAGGTAAGCTTACTACTTACAGTCAGTTCTTAAAGCAATGACTGTTTAAATACATTGAAGTCAGGACTCAGAGAGGAGCAAGTACAGATAACACATTGTTCCCACCTGTTAAAAGATAGTAACCCACTTGAGGATGAGGCTAAAATAGAAAATTTCTATTCTGAAATACTTAAGGCCCAACTAAAGTTTCCTCCAGGTTTCAACAGTTATCATATATTAGAATATTATCATAGATCCAAAATAGAATAGGCACTGTAACAAACAGTAACTATTAACCCCTAACAAACATGACTGCAGTAATAATTATAAAAATAGCATTATCCCTACTAGGAACTAAAGTTGAAAAATTACTATTTATGATTACACTGAGAAAGCAGTTAAGAGTACCTTAATGTTTCAACATTAGCAACCTACACTGTTCAGATAGGATCACATTCAGCTCTCTGCCTCCCCAGGCCCTTAGAATAATTATGAGTTTCTTGATGTCAACAGCCACTCATGGGTTTGACAAGGAAGCAGCTCTTCAATAGCCATGAAATATCACATTAGGGATTACTGTGTCTCCTGCCCACAGGTGGCATCTCAGTAGATCTCCTGATCGCCTCGTATTAGGGTGGGAAAGACGGAGAGCTCTACAGGTAGAAGTGCTCATAATACTTTGCAATTCTATAAGCAGCTATCATTTAAAGAAATTTTTAAAAGATTAACTTCCAAAATATTCTGGATGGGTAGTATATTAATACTATATTTACCCATTTTATACATGAAGGAACAAAACAACTCAGATTAAACAGCATGGTAGTAGCACAAACCTGAGTCTTCAAGTCACTGGACCACACTCTCTGAATATATATACCTAGGATGGCTCAAGCTGTTCATGTCTTAGTCCAAAGCTGCAAAAATATCCAGGACGTGGATGTTGGCAACTGAAATAGAAAATAAAAGAGAAAAAGCTTGGTATGACTCTTGGGGTATAACAGAAATAAAATGTTTCCATTTACTCCCCAAGAACAACTAAGGTAATGTTACAGGGAAAAAGTTAAACTATGCACTCTCATACTTTCAAATTTGTGCTGTAAAGTAGCACCTAGACTCTTTGAAGCAATATTTGTTTTGTGAGTATAAAGGATTATTGGCAGGAATGAGTGAAAGATTGCTTCAGGTTCTTTTGAAATACCATGCTTTTTGCCTGGACACAGATGTAGAAAAATTGAAAGTTCAATATTTTTCATAAAACAGTTTTAAACATTTAGAAAAAAGAATTTAATTGGAATTATGAATGAAAAGATTCAACCTGCCTATACAGCTGTCTTAAATTTAATTTTAAAAACCATGAAAGCTTCTGCTAAACATGCTCTAACCTCTTAAAGAAAAAACAAAGGAACACTGTGTCTTGGATATAATTAACATCTGCAGAACTCACACAGTATAAAAAACGAGTCGCCACAATAGTAAAATAATCACTTCCAAAGTTATCTTTCCCCAAAGTTTAGGAATTAAAAAGATCTTGACACTTGCAAGCATAATTAAAAAAACTTATTTTACCTGAATCTCAGTCCACTCTCACTATGTAATAAAATACTTAGATGCTGGCAAAACATTAATAGAAACAGATCAAGCCAATAAAAATTTTACAAACAAGCTAATTGGTCTGTTGGTTTCCTTGGATTCATATCTCAAAGCTTCTTAGCTACAAATCTGTTTAATAATTACCTTTTATAACCTCTGTACTTAAGTGTCTTCCTCTTCGGATATTCAGCCTTCAGACATGGACATTCCCTACTGAGCAACTTTAAATCTAACTGAAGCAGTGAAGCAACACCCCACACAAAGAGGTCTGTGGTCAGATTTATGACAAATAAATATAAAGAAATAAGGTAAGTACACATTGTTAAAACATTTTAGATTAACATTCTCAGTTAGAGAGAATTGAAGTTCTCTTTCAGATAGGGAGGTCAGGCACAAAATTGCAATACAATCTGATGGTCAATTCCTGCAATTCCTTATGAAGGCAACATTTTCATTGAAGCCTGTCTATTTCATTGGGTCAATGACACTTGAAGCTTTTTTAAACTAGATCATCAGGCTGGGAACGAAGTGTTTCTCAAAAGACATTGTTGCTATAGTTAATCACATTCAGAGGCATTATTTTGATTTCTAATGCCTTCCCATGAAAAACTTTTTTGGATCATTAAGCTGAAATAGTTACTATTGACAAGAGTATTTTGAATATTTCAAGGACTATAGAACTGCAATGTAGTATTATTCATCATATACAAAACACCGACCAAAATGTGGGGAGTTAAAACATTGTGCACTAAATGTATTAAACTACAGTATATACAACTGCAAAATTATCAATATTTTAGTTTCCAGAAATACAGATTTAGGATCAGATGGAATTTTTACTTGAATAGGTTTGGTAGTACCAAAATCTGATCTATCCTAAATTGAAACTTGCTTTACCAGTTGACAATATGTTACTGAAACATTCCGGGAAACAATCGAATCCACATTTGTGTGCATAGTCTGAGTGTTTAATTACCATAATTTTTGAACAAATAAATATTTATGTATCTGTTAATCATGATAGTCAATACATTTTATTTTCATCTTCAGTGTGCACACATTTGTGCATCTATCCTATTGAAAAATGAGGTTTTTACAGTTATGAGGAAAAGAGATTTATGTGTATATTTATCTGATTGTATTTAAAAGTAAAATAAAGATGAAATTTGTTAGTTCTGTTTAATATATATAGATATCTCAACATCAAATAAGCAAAATGGGTGAAGAAAACTTGAGAAAAAGAAATCAAGGAGGGGAGGTCCATCAATGGCTACTAGCCAGAATGGGAATCCATCCAAAGTAAAGAACCCCAAACTATGAATCTTCGGAAAGAGGCAAGAATAGTTTTCTAAAATACTTATTTTAATAAGAAGGCTGTGCTTTTCTGTTTACATTTAGCACTGTTGATTTCTATGTTAGTAATATTTCTAATCAGTTATTAAGAAGAGCGCATTGAAAAATGCCTAACATTTTGGCAGAAAATGCTGATTCATCAAAACCAAAGGAATGTGTGTAAAACGTATGATAAAACTTTTGCTTTCAAAAATGTTACCCTTAATGTCATGTATATCAGTCCCTCATCCTCATTTGTGAGACTCTTAACTAGCCTAAAAATATGGATGCAATGTTGGAGAAGACTGAAATGAGCAGGTCAATTTAGCTATAAAGTTATTTTCATCTTTACCACATCCAGGAAGATGCACACAAATAAACAAACAACAGTGTTCAATTTACACATTCTTCTAGTGTCAATGGTTATAAATTGATTGTGTGTATTAAAATACTCCAAGTAGTGCAGGCATGGGGGAAACTTTCTTTTGGGTTGGCGGCCACAGGCATTTCCACAATCCGCTTGCACAGCAGAGTTTTGGGGGGCCCAGGCTAGTAGAATTTGTGTGTTCTAGCACCATGGGGAATAGCAGGGGATCTGGAGTGCCAGCACAGGCTCCCCAATGGTTGGGGTAGAGAGCCCTAAGCCTTAGGGGGCCAGTTCCAGGCAAGCCAGCGGCTGCATTAGGCTCCCAGACCTTAGGTTCCCCACCCCAACTTAAACCATTTAATAGCTGGTGTGCAATGTTTCACGTAACAAAAAGACATGGAAGTGCTCTTCTAGAGAAAGGAATATATGTTTGTTCCACTCCTTGTTGAAGATATAACTGCAGTTAGTAAGGGTAAAGGTGAATGTGGGGCACACTGTAAGCTGTAAATTGCTCTGTTAATAGGTTCAGTTTTAGTGCTGCAAACAAATATGCAATGTGCACTGTAATCATTATCCTTAAGTTAATTATAGATTGTCAGTTGTTAGGACAAGAGATAATCCTGAAATATTGCAGTAAGAAAAATTCAGTACTGTCCAGTACCGCTGAGTAATGTTTGGTAGACATTACAAGATCTCACATATGGCTTTTTATTGCAGAAAAAAGCAACAATATAACTAAAGTTTTAACAGGATTCTGTTCTCACTTACTTTCTTTCACTGTGTCTTCTGTTAACAGGATTGCAAAGAGTTTTTTTGACCCCGAACATCATGAAACAGGCATGCTGGAACAGTATGTTAGGATTGCATGTCCCTTAACTATCTACCAAAACTGTTTACTCTGGCCAAAATCCAAATGAGTAAAATTCTTCCACTTAATAGAATGATCAAGATACAGAAACTGAATGGAATCCTACACAATTATGACAGAACAACTTCAGGTCTGAAAATAGCAGCAGCAGTGTTCCCCGCCGCCCCCCTCCCATCCCTGCCCACCTGCCTTAAACAGCTTCCTGCCTCTCGCCCCTCTCTGCCACCGCTTACAAGTTTCCCCGCTTGCAAGCTGGCTGCACAGAGCTTCCACTGCCTCCCCGCAACACGGCAGAGAGTTAGCCCCTCACCGCGCCATTCCCCACTGAACCCCCCACGCAGTGCAGGTCCCAGCAGACCTGTCACAGAACCCCGCCGGAGTACCTCCCGATACTCCGGCATATCCGATAATCCGGCACCCCCTGTGTCCCAAGGGTGTCAGATTATCAGAAGTCTACTGTATTAGGAAACAGAATATAATATATATCTTTTTAAAAACAAAATACAGAAGCAATTTCAGGGCTATTCTACAAACACAAGCCTAATGAATAAATTCAAAACTATTTTATATAGTAGTAATCTATGGGCCAACAATCATTGAGGTCTGCTGTGGTTTTTTACCAGTTCAGTTTATTTTACCTGTTTAACAGGATAAGGGCACTCTTGGGTATACAGGCATACAAGGCCATATTAATTTATGTTTTTGAGAAAGGTGACTACTATGTTGTATTATGACATGTGAAAACATCTTAAAAATAGCAGCTATGCAGTTAAATTGTGTGCATGTCTATCAACAGATCAATAAATAGAAGATGCATATGTGATGCCAGAAAAATACTAATGATAACTGTTCTTTCATTTAACTGAAGAAAATAATATAGCACAAGAAGTTAATATTAAGTTACCTTACTGGAATATCTCATTCACTTCAAGGTGGGCCTGATCAGTGGGACCTGTGTTATTGTTGGTACAGTTATTGGCTCAGGCATCTTTATTTCTCCAAAGTCAGTACTTGCCAATGTTGGAGCTGTGGGACCTTGTTTAATCATCTGGTCAGCCTGTGGAGTTCTTTCTACATTAGGTAAGTAAAATAAAATAAAAGTTTGTTATTACCAAATGGAATTCTGAATTTCTAAATAGAAAACTAAAATAGAAATATTTGCCAAAAATATTTAACTATCTGAAAGTCCAGAATAATAAAGGGTTTGAAAAACAAGGCAATAATCCGAGAGAGTATGTTAGGAGTAAGTTTCACATTATAGATTCAAATTCTGAGTAGGTAATAATTTAAAATGAGTTTGCTATAGTGTAAAAGCAAGTTAGCTTATGAGTTTGTAATGTGGTAAATAAGTAAAAAGCAATTATTCAGATATAATGGAGTGAGGAAGTAAAACTCTCTCCTCTAAATGGTTTAGGGTCATCTATGTCTGGAATATTGCATTTAATTTTAAACAACTCCAGAAAAACCACAGTTAAGTTAGCAAAAACTTTAAGTCTGAAAAAATCTCAAATCAGGCACTTCTAATTGTTAAGAACTAATGAGTAACTTGTTAGTTTTCAATACTTTTACAAACTTATGGAAATTCTTTTGCAAATTATGGTTTAAAAATTTTTGTCACTATTTATTTGTGATTTTAAACAAATATATTGAAGTATCACAAGTCTTTAAAACCATTTTATTAAATATATATTATTTATAAAAAAGTAGGAGCTAATTAAAACAAGTGTAGTTTAATGAAGTATATAATCTAAAAGCACTATACTGCTATCTGTATTTTTTCTTTTTGTTTAGGTGCACTATGTTTTGCTGAGCTTGGCACAATGATCACAAAATCAGGGGGAGAATATCCTTACCTTATGGAAGCATTTGGTCCTATTCCAGCATATTTGTTTTCCTGGACTAGTTTACTAGTCATCAAACCCAGTGCATTTGCTATCATTTGTCTCAGCTTTGCAGAATATGCTTCAGCGCCTTTTTATCCAGGCTGTGACCCTCCTGTAGTTGTCATTAAGTGTCTTGCAGCAGCTACCATTGGTAAGATCTCTATTTTTTTAAAATGGGACTGACATATGATACTACGTAGCAGTTCATGAATTATTTTTTCCAGGAAAGATAGTAAAAGCCTCATCTCTTAACATATTAAAACCTTGAATGCATACATCACTAGAAAGTAATACAGGCAGTCCCCGGGTTACGTACAAGATAGGGACTGTAGGTTTGTTCTTAAGTTGAATTTGTATGTAAGTCGGAACTGGTACATAATGTAGGGGAAACTCTAGCCAAACATTTCTCCAGAGCTCAGTTTTATTCTCCCACACCTCACTTCCCTCAGTCCTTTATTCTCAAGCTGAGGTGTCTGCTGAGAAAAGCCGCTCTAAAAACTGCTTCGCGTCTCCCTGGTCGGCGGGGGGGGAGGGGGGGGGCGCTAGCTTCGCGTCTCCCTGGTCTGCTGGGGGGAAGCAGCTAGTGCGGGGGTGCCTCCACCCGTTTGTAAGTAGGGATCTGATGCAAGTCGGATCCATGTAACCCGGGGACTGCCTGTACAGAAAACTATTAGTAAGCACAATTCTTGCATTGGAAGACAGATAGATTTGATAACTTCAAATACAATGGAGGTCTTTTCTAAACCTAATGTCTCTGGAAGAATAAAACAATAGAAAGGATGAGTTCAACTTGAAGAGCCTGTCTACCCTAGGAAACTATTTTGAAATAGCTACATTTGATTTAATAACTCCCCAAACAACAAAAAAGTGTCCATACAACAGGGAAGCCTTGAAATTAGTCAGAGGCAGGCTCTGTTAATGTGGATGCGCTACCTCGACTTAAAGCTCCAAGAAGCACTGGGGAGTAATTAGTTAAAATTACTCTGGGGAGGAGTTATTTCAAAATAGCAGCACCGGAGCATCCATACTAATGCTATTTTGAAACAACTATTTCAAAATTAGTGTTATTCCCCGAGGAAAGCAGGAGTAAAAATTTCTAAGTAACCAGCCCATTCTTTCAAAATAACGGGCTTGGTAGTATGGACACTCCTCTTATACATTTGACCAAAGGGGGGTTATTTTGAAATAACCCTTAGTGTAGATCAGGCAAAAGGAAGTTTCGCTTTTTGGGTTAGAAGGTATAAATCAGGTTTCATCCTTATTCAGAAGGATCACACTCAGGAATAGTGTATATAGATCAGAAGCATGGGCGCCATCTTTTGGAAATGAAAAAAATGGTCCAAGTTCATATTTTATTTTCTAGATTAAAAGTTATCAAATGTTTTTAAAAATGTTTTAAAGAGACTTCAAGAAATTCCTCAGTTTCAGAAAATTGCTCTCATTCTTTAACAAACCACCAAATGTGAGAAATTGCAATAATTACATGGAGTTTACAAACCAGTATAAGAAAAAAACCAAAATAAACAGACTTGGGTGTCTGAACCGAAGATAAAAATTATATTAATTTTTCTTTAAATCCAATTATTTATAGTTTTGTGATTTATACCATTTAAACTGAGAAATGCAATCTTCATTTTCCCCTAGTGATTATTACCACAGTGAATGCAATGAGTGTGAAGTTGGGGAGCTATGTTCAGAATTTTTTCACTGCTGCTAAAATGATCATTGTCTTAATCATTATTGTAAGTGGAATTATTCTCCTTGCACAAGGTAATTTAATTTTTGTTTGGCTTTAGTTTTACGAAGACAGTAATTTAGAGTATACTTTTGTTTCTGCCATGACTTGCTACTGGATCATTTGCTGAAAAATATTGTTTGCTTGCTGTAATTCTAACTTAATATGATTTTAATAGAAGAACCTGTTAATTGACTTCAACTCAAATTGACTTTAGAGTTGAGGGCAATCAACCTCTTAGGATCAGACTTTTAGTGAGTGAAGAGAATAAACTGGAAAACGTTCTGGGGGAAAAAATTCCATTTATATGATTTCTTAAATTGTCAAAGAGCTATAATAAAGACAATGTTGTTTCATTCAATTGTGATTGTTTCCAGAAGACTGGAAAAGGGCAAATATAGTGCCCATCTATAAAAAGGGAAATAAGAACAACCCAGGAAATTACAGACCAGTTAGTTTAACTTCTGTGCCAGGGAAGATAATGGAGCAAGTAATTAAGGAAATCATCTGCAAACACTTGGAAGGTGGTAAGGTGATAGGGAACAGCCAGCATGGATTTGTAAAGAACAAATCATGTCAAACCAATCTGACAGCTTTCTTTGATAGGATAATGAGTCTAGTGAATAAGGGAGAAGCGGTGGATGTGGTATACCTAGATTTTAGTAAGGCATTTGATACGGTCTCGCATTATATTCTTATCAATAAACTAGGCAAATACAACTTAGATGTGGCTACTATAAGGTGGGTGCATAACTGGTTGGATAACCGTACTCAGGAGAGTAGTTATTAATGGTTCTCAATCCTGCTGGAAAGGTATAATAAGTGGGGTTCCGCAGGGGTCTGTTTTGGGACTGGCTCTTTCAATATCTTACTCAACTATTTAGATATTGGCATAGAAAGTACGCTTATTAAGTTTGCAGATGATACCAAGCTGGGAGGGGTTGCAACTGCTTTGGAGGATAGGGTCATAATTCAAAATGATATAGACAAATTGCAGAAATGGTCTGAGGTAAACAGGATGAAGTTTAGTAAAGACAAATGCAAAGTACTCCACTTAGGAAGGGACAACCAGTTTCACACATACAGAATGGGAAGTGACGGTCTAGGAAGGAGTACAGTAGAAAGGGATCTAGGGGTTATAGTGGACCACAAGATAAATATGAGTCAACACTGATGCTGTTGCAAAAAAAGCAAACATAATTCTGGGATGCATTAACAGGTGTGTTGTGAGCAAGAGACGAGAAGTCATTCCTCCACTCTACTCTGCACTGGTTAGACCTCAGTTGTAGTATTGTGTCCAGTTCTGGGCACCGCATTTCAAGAAAGATGTGGAGAAATTGGAGAGGGTCCAGAGAAAAGCAACAAGAATGATTAAAGGTCTAGAGAACATGACCTATGAAGGAAGGCTGAAAAAACTGGGTTTGTTTAGTTTAGAAAAGAGAATATTGAGAGAGGACATGATAGCAATTTTCAGGTATCTACAAGGGAGTCATAAGGAGGAGGGAGAAAACTTGTTCATCTTGGCCTCTGAGGATAGAACAAGAAGCAATGGGCTTAAACTTCAGCAAGGGGGGGTTAGGTTGGACATTAGGAAAAAGTTCCTAACTGTCAGGGTAGTCAAACACTGGAATAAATTGCCCAGGGAGGTTGTGGAATCTCCATCTGTGGAGATATTTAAGAGTAGGTTAGATAAATGTCTATCAGGGATGGTCTAGACAGTACTCAATCCTGCCACGAGGGCAGGGGACTGGACTCGATGACTTCTCAAGGTCCCCTCCAGTCCTAGTATTCTAGGATTAATTTTGCCTCAGCATAATTCAGCATCAATTTTTTTCATTTGCAGGAAAAACAGAAAATTTTAAAAATTCTTTCAGTGATTCTAAAATTTCTGCTGGTTCTATCAGCTTGGCATTTTATAATGGACTTTGGGCCTATGATGGATGGTAAGTTTTTTTTAATTATCGTAAAATTCACTTGCATGCCTTACTAGGGAAAGTTGAAAGTCTGACTTCTTTTTATGGACAATAATTGTAAAAAGCAGTGCAAAAAGAGCAGTATCACCTTATAACGAACCAAAGCACCATGTCCTAGGGCTGGGGTGGGCAATATTTTTTGATGGGGAGGGGCACTCCAAGTTTTGATAAGTAATCAAGGGCCTCACTTTTCTATGGGGGCGGTGCAGGGTCTGGGACAGAGGTTGGGTGCAGAAGGGAGCTTGGGGTAGGTGACTGGGGTGCAGGAGAAGATGTGGGGTCTAAGAGGGAGTTTGGGCAAAGAAGGGGTTAAGGGATTGGGTGCAGGATCCGGGATGGGGTATGGGTATAGGAAAGGATTCTGGTCTGGGGGAAGGATGTCAGAGGGGGTGCAGGATCTGGGAGGGAGCTGTGACCTGGGCTGAGGGGAAGGAGGGTTCAGAAGGTTTGGGTGATGACCAGGGGCAGGGTATTGGGGTGCAGCATCCAGAAGGGACTATAGGAGCAGGAGAGGACTCTGGCCTGGAGGAGGTGTGTAGGAAGGGGTGGGATGCCCGAGGCAGGCTTTGGCCAGAAGGTGCTTGCGCATCCCAGTGGGAGCCTCAGGCAGGTTTAACTGCCTGTCAGCAGTCCCTGATTGCTCAAAATGGCTGACTGTTCCATGTGGTTCTCTGCACTACAGAGAGGTGGAGGTGAGGCTTCACATGGTGTCCCTACCCCTAGCACAATATCTTGGCTCCCATTGGCTGTGTGGCCAAAGGAGCTGAGAGATTGTGCTGGAGGCAGGGGAAATAGGAAGTCCACTTCCATGACCCGTGTGAGGCACAGAGCGCCTCAGGGAATAGCCTTGTTTTTTGAGAAAAAGCTTCTCTTCAAAAAAAGAGGGGAGGGGGTCATCAAAAAAGCCACATCCAAACTACTTTCACTTTCGAAAGCTCCACTCTGTGTAATTTGCATATCCTCTTTCGGCACTTCAGCGTAGTCTAGATAAGCCCTGTGAGCGACACGGAGCTGCTCCGTTCCATAGGAGCAGGCCGTGGGCCAGATTAAAAGGCTTAGTGGGCCAGATCTGGCCCATGGGCCAAATGTTGCCCACCCCTGTCCTAAGGGGAAGACTACAAGAGGGTCAACTGTACACTGCAGGGGTGAAACTGGGGTAGGATCATAAAGTTAAATTGGAGCTATTTGTTTTAATACCACTAGGAAATTTGTTTTTTATCTCCTCACTCTAGCATCATATACTAAATGTTTTTATGAAGTTGTGTGAATTTTAGTAGACTCAATCTTCTTTTAATACTAATAAGTTTACTTTATAAAATTGTTTCTTCACTATCCAACAGAAAACTACAGAATAGTATTTCCCAAGGCTTATTTTATTCACTCAAGAAATCTACACTTTCTGAATATATTTAAACATTAAGTTTAAACAATCTTGCTATATATTATTATCTCCTCTAATTCCTCAAGAGATTTCTACATTTCAGCCCTTGTTGCTGAAAAGAAAACCAGTGTGTGCATGATTCGAGTATCAGTTTGGGCTATCTCCACTTTCAGGCACCCTACAAAAGTGCAATCTTTGTTTTTCTTGACTCAGCTGAGACACATAAATACTGTTCTCAGACTTAATTTTTAGCACTAGAGGAAGTGACTAATGTGTCTAACTTCAAGCACATCTTTAAATACTTTGCTAAATATGGACCATTATATTTAAAGATTCAGTTTTAAACTCAAATGCCTGAAGTCAGATACCTATATCCTGCCTAAAACTTATTTAGATACTTAAATATTGAAATGAATGGCTAATTTTAGCCACTTAGGTATGAAAATGTGTCCCTAACATCTGTAGATATTTAAGTGCATTAAAATA